ATCACCAAATAATTACGTTCGCTTATAAGGATCGTGGATTTCTTAAATTTATAATATCTATAATGATCCATGATCATGGATCATACCCTACACGATCATGATAATAATAGGAATTAAGTAGTTGTATGAATATACTGATGAAAATTCCTAGCAAATCTCTGTTCTCATAAATCTCATTAAATCTATTTACTTAACCAGTTTGCTGTTTCTCATGAGTATACTCATCACGAAGAAATAGCATACACACTTTGCAAAGAAACTGCAACACTTATCTAGTCAAACAAAGGTTCGTTGAATTCAAATTAAGGAACGAAGTTTCTTCATGGTAAGCTGAATTTATCACTTTCACTGGACCCTGTTTCATAAACGCGTAGAATCCACGGTAATAAATAAAATTCACGAGCACCCGTTCGTACAATACACACGTTATCGTGCCATTCTGCCAATTAGATCACGAGGACTGAGCACTCTCGGGTACCGGTAACAAGGCTGAACGAGCATTTTATACATCCTCGTGGAGGTGCAACTCCAGAGATATCCGAAGATAAAGTCAGGCAACCCGATGGGCTCATTAAACATTCCGATTCACGCAATAATTTGATCCTGCGCCTGGTTATTAACTGAAAGAGGAGGGCTAATTACGCGCATCTCGCGCCTCGGCTCTTTCACGAGCTGTTTCCGCCATTTTCACGGCTAAACGATGCGAAACCGGCACAATGAGCCCCATTACCCGCGAAATACATACGGACTGGCATGAAAAGAGTTCGATAGCCGAGCGCAGCGTACCCGTCCGGTACCCGCCGCGTTATGGGATGTAATCGTTGTTAGATAAATCCGGCCGCTCCTTAATTAGCGAATCGGGCGCGAGGGAAAACGGGGGTCTGGGGATTCGCGGCCGCGAGAGTGCAAAGCCGCCGCCGTGATCCACGGGAACAAGGAAGAGACGCGACGGGGTAGACCGACTCATGCATTATGTATAGTACGGAGTACACCCGGGCTCTGGACGCCTAGGAACATTTAGCCGGCTACTCGAACCGACGGCACAAGGCACACCGGTACCTGCATTTATAGAAGTACGCAAATTGCTTGCAACTACCTGGCGCAAACGCCTTGCCCGGGCGAGAGTATGCGAGCCCAGGAACGAACATCAGCGTCCCCCCACGTATAATTTCGCGCGGATAATTATAATTGTTAATCGCCGCGAGGAACGTGGAAACTGGCGATCCTCGAGGTGTCGCGATACCCGGCTATTTATGACGGCCGGCCGTCCATTATCTGGCGGGGAGTTTAATCGGGTTAAGGCCGCCGTCCAAGTTTCTTTGTATCGGTACTCTTTGTGAATGGAATTTCGGAGGAAATTGCTGCGGTTTTCTCTCGTTTATCCTTGATGGCGGAGTAAAGGATGAAAAAAGGCGAGAGAGGAATGCAATGTTGCGGAGATTGTTGGAAAATTCGAAATATAGGTAATGGATTGCGTATTGGGATTTTGGGAATTGAATTATGAGAAATTCTAATTTGTGACGTATTAGCGATTTTGAAGATCGAGTTTGGAAAGTAAATATCGTTTGTTGGAAGAGGTTTAGACAATAGGTTCGAGACAACGGAATTGTAAGCAAACAAAACGAATTAATTGCCGAATTAATTGTTTTAGAACGGGAATTACCGAAGATGTGATTATACAGTAGTGTTTTCATTCGATAAAATGTTGGGCATGGAATTCTTATTGGAGGAATCGTACCCGTATAATTGATCTCAGATCGAACGTGGATTACGCGTGATTCGAATTGGTATTACTGTAAAAGCCTCTGCGAATCAATTATTCAAACTGATAGAATCCCATGAATCCGGCTAAAGCGGTTTCATTCCTGTGGAACAGCTAATTACCGATATCAAACTCTTACAACATTGTACCTTGCCCGCGGGGAATGCGAGCATTTGCACAAAACCCATCATTAAGATGCTCGTCTCTGACACGCCAGTCGTAAGAGCTTCCCGCATAATTCTAGTGCTACATCGCCTCCTCTTTTTTCGCAATAAAAAATGAAAAGGATTCTGAATCGTTAAATTTCTCGTATCTCCTATACGTTCGCAGTTACACGGGGGTCGGCTAATAAACGAGATTTCGATGTACCATTTTCGAATGGGTACATTCATGCGTGAAGCCGCAAGAATAGCTTCATGAATTTATGTAAAACGCGGTTCGTTATGTCCGCGGTATATGCTTATCGACCAGTGATAATAGAGTCATAAATGAGACCGGGAGACCATTTACGAGGCCTGTTACGCGCGTTGCGTAACGAGAAGAAAGTGTGTGAAAATTCTTACGCTCGAGATATCGATCTATTATGCACCCGTATGGGAATATTCAATTAGGCGTACTGTAAGTACCTGTAATCTCAATGGAACGAGCGAGATGTTGCTGAATTCTGGACTGAATAAAGATCTACTGTTTCCTTGAAGTGCTCCTCTCGAAACTTAAGAGGCTAATAAAACTACAATATCTCACAATTTCAAATTCTCACGTTCCAAATTTCTATGTTCTGGATTACTAAGTTTCATATCTTTAAGCTTCATATTTTAATGTTTGAAATTTTAATATCCCGAATTTCTACGTTTCGAATTTTCATGTTACATAGTTTTATATGGTACATTCCTATACTCTCCATACTGTCACATTTCAAATTTCTATATATCTGCTCTCTCAGCTTGGAGCTTATCTAATATCCTATGGTTCTATTTCTCGATACTTTTATTTGGTAGCCAAGAATGTCTACGACTCTAATCTCTACAGCTTGGATTCCTCCATTTGATTCCCTCGCTTCCCCTTTGAACCAGTGCCTACAACAAAAGCACATATTCCATTCAATTCAGTACCAAGAATTGATTAGTCAAGCGGGTTGGACGGGGCGTATCTATTCACAAAGTGGAACAAACGAACAATAAAACTGCATCGACGTTGCGACACAGAAACACCCCGCGAATGACGACGATCAGCGTAAATTTCCTTAATCAGATCCCCGTCGGGACAGAAACGCATTGTTACGGAGGCTCGCGTCTCCGCTTGATATGCATCATCTACCAGGCAACGCGAGTTATTTCGATCGTAAAACGATGCGATCGCGGAAACTCCTTTACCAAACGCAGAAATGCGTGAAATGGAAACGCCATTGTTGGGCCGCGCGCAACGATTCCACGTCTCGTTCGCCCGTTAAAAATCATAATTTCCCACATTACGTACGGTGAATACCGTCCAGCCGGATTCGTTGTGCATCTCGGCTTTCTCATGCGGTCATTCGACAAAGCGCGTGGGCGTGTGTCTTCTTCTGCGATCATTCGTTTGCGTTTGCGTGCCTCGCTATAGGTGTTCCGGGTGAATATAAAGGAATTGAATTTTATTTTCATCCCAACGTGCGCCTGTTCCTTGTCCTTGTACTCTTATATAACGCCGGCAGATTAAGTTTCAAGATTTTCGATAGAGCAAACTTTTCGCTCGTGAGAACCTCTAGCAATTATAGAAATTAAAATTGCTTCCCTCACAATCTAGACGGTACCTCGTTAAATTTTGATATCTATTTTAAATTTACCGAACGGAATATCCTACCAGAAGTACATTGACTTATTCCATCTCCTTCCCCGTGAACATTTCACATTCTTTCCATAAATATCCTCTTATTTCATTCAACTAACCCGACAAGTACTATTTTCCTTAAACTCGAACTACAAACACGACGATGTAGAGTACCGCGATTCTATGACTGTTTCGAAAAAATAGCTTTTGTAGCTCGCGGAACGCCTCTACAAGGAAGAAGATCCTCATCAATCACGGGACACGATGAAACATGAGTTAGCGCAGAAATAAGACGCGCGCCGCGCGAATTGACGGCCTAATGGTAGACCAACACGCGTGAACGTCGCCCTACCACTTATCAATCGTACGCCGTTGCGCGATACCCAGCCAGAGCGTCAGGGCGTAGAATTATTAGCTTTGCCGCGTATGAAATTAAGACGTAGGCCGTGGGTTGCCGATGTCGGAGCTACGTGCGCCGACTGAGCTCGGAGGTGTAACGCGCGCAGTCCCCGTATTAGGGCCGGGAACACGTGTATGCACGCGGTTTTTTCGTGATCGGTACGCGCACGTCGCTGAAGTCACGTTAGCAGTTTCCCATATAAACCGAAACCGAACTCGTTACACTTGATCCGAGCGACGTCCGCGGGGTTTCTTCGTTGCCCGACCTCGGAACAGTTTTTTGTCGGAGCATAATTATGTTGTTGATTTAACGAGCCCTGATTATGACAAATGAGATGTTACAAGACGGCGCGGCTGATGACCGCCAGCGGAAGAGGTGTATTATGGAAGGCGATAAGCTCCTGTTGCGCTGGCGAACTGGCTTTACTTATCTCGGCCCGAGACTTTGCAATACTTCTTCCTCGTTTCCACACTGTTTGCCTTATCTTTTTTCCTTGTTCACCAGGAAATTGCGCAAGTTCTTTACCCAACACTAAATACTGGGTGTCTCAAAAATATGGGACCTGAACATTCCTAGTGCTATTATATCGTTGCATTCTGCTGGCCTATGGTACATGTTCATAAACGCTTAGAATCTAGAATTTTTTAAACGTATTTTCGTGTTAGGTAAGTCCTACCGCCTATCGTATAGAATAATTGTCCGTCCCGCAGTAACCTTTCCCTTTGACTTATTATTAGCGCTGTTATTTATAGCCTGCGACTTGGAAATGCGTATAGTATATCTGAAAGCAGACATTACAAGTAATGGTCGTGTTTGACATTCTTATATAACTTCTAAGTCTGTTCTTATACGAAAAGTAAAACGAAATAGTTCCCGCGCTGAAGATGGTACTTAACCTCAATCTTTGGAGGATTGTTACGACCCGCGTAGTGCATATAATCTACCGAAATTTACCGTGAATGGTTATTAGAAGATAAAGTGGCGGTTTCAATGTTTCGTAAGAGAAAAATTGTTAAAAGTATTGAGACATGCCTGGAACTGATTCGCAAGGATACTTTTGAGGCTCTGTTACAGAAAGTTGCAGATGTTCGGTGTTGTACCCGTCTTCTGGCTGCGTTGATTAAGTGCACGAACAGGCCCCACTTGTTCATCGGATATAGGCGATCTCCTGTGACTTTCACCTTCGCACAAACTTCCACCCGTTTCAAATTACTAACGCGGCTTCTTGAAACACGTCCGAAACTTCGATCACACAATAATAAACACACATTTTTTGCTTGATCGAGGAGCGCGTAATATCTTTCACAGTGCAAGCGCAGCCATGTTTGTTCGGCGGTCACGTGACGTAACTCTCAGATTCAAATAGATCGATACTAACGATTCCCTACTTTTTAATAATCACGTGATCAGCAAAGTAATATGGCAGCTAGTATAACAGAAAAGAGTTGATCCTTTACACTCGGAAATTTCTCACTAAAAATATTTAACATTTTTCATATTCTTTAAAATTAACACAAAGGGATATGACAAGTACATCGAGGACCAAAGCTATTTTATTGTAATATTTCACGTATCGAGGCATTATACAAAGTTCAACATTAAATATCAGATTCTGTAGTTTTACTGCGTCAAATCAAGTGGTGACTGAGAGTCACCTCCCGAATGCAAAGGGTGAAATTCAAGCTCAAACTCAAACTGAAACTGAAATTCGTTAACCTCGCGGTTAAGACATCGATCCAGCAACATCAGTTGTATTCCATTGAAAGGTATTGCAAAAACTCTTGGCAAAATCCCTTTTACTACCCTTATTTTCAACCCCTAGTAAATCTCTGCTCAGGAACGAAAACCTAGCCCAGATAGCAACATTAACGAGTGTTCGGGCACTCGTAACGCGAAGAATGCACCATGGGATAATGAGGTGAATATTAGCGGCGAGTATTATCCTGGAAGGTGAAATCGTTTCCTCGGCGGTGGAACGATGGTCCAGGATTTCTTCCCGAGCGATTAGCCAAGGAACGAGAGGGAACTTCCTTATGTCTAAGGCGCGCTTAGATGCTCGGCTTGCACTTAAGTCGGGTTAGGCGTTAGTTAAAGTCGGGCCAGAGGCGATTCCCGAGCGCAGCCGGTTGCGGAACGTGTTTCTCTCCGCGGAATGCCCGTCGCTCCGCTTTCCTCTCCTCCTCGTCCTCCTGCCTATCTTTCTTCTTCTCCTCCTCCCCCTGATCGATGCCATGAGGCTACGCGCACCTTACTTCCCCCCGTGGCGCGAGCGTACTCGCGCCGGAAAACGTAGTTCCGCGGGGAACGAAAGGGAACGCCGCTTAACACGCGGTATATTTATACATCATCATGCTCGTAAACCGTTTCGAGCAGAGCCGACTCGTGGATAGACCCCGCGCCACAGTTTTTCAACGACGCTGCTGCTCGGAAACGTTTTACGCGCGCCACAGCTCGAAGTCTCGCCGTGGACCTACGGTGCTAAATTAATGGGCTGGAACTGGTCCGTTGTCGAGGAAACGCGATATTGGAATTACGGTCAGCGAAGTGATTCAGTTTTTCGAGCCGGGTCGTGGACTAATTAAATTTTTGAAAAAACACCACGCCAAGAAAGGGAGTTTCAGGTATCAGGATGAACCAGCTCGGCTTGTAATGCAATGAATAATAAATGTTATTCTTTAATTAAATGTGACCGCAACCTGCCATTTATTTGATCTTGTAATTTTGCGGCGGGCGACGATTGACGGATGTCCTTTATTATATAAAAATGAAGGAAAATATCATTTGCATGTAGAAGGGTATATTAAAGCCTTGATGTTTCGGAAGAAAAAATGCTTGATCGACAAAATTATATAGGTCTACATCTACGTTAACCAAGTAATTACTCCAGGGAAATGACAGTTCTCAAACACTTTGCATTAAATTCAAGTCACTTCGGTCAATTTTTCGTCATGCGTTTTAAGAAGTTAATGCTTGACAGAGGGAGGGCGGGGGTAGAGACGACGCAATACAAACGATGTCTTTCCGACCATGACACCCACGCGAGACCCTAAGTCAAGGTTATGTCAAGCTTAAGGGGAAAAGGACGTCTCTGACGGACCGATTGAGATCGATGTACGTATCGAGCGTGTAAAAGCGACGGCGTCGAGGGCTTGATGTTCGTAGCTCGCGTTTATGGTGACGTTAAATAGTAATGGCATCGTGGCGAGGGTAATAAACTCTATTAATGAGTTTCGCTAATGGCGCTTGGCGCTTTGAGTCGCCGTGAAATACTCCGTACTTTGTTAGTCGCACTTAGCGAGAATCGCATGGAATGGATCTCGCGGCGTCCTTTCCTCGTTCATTCTTTCTCGGCGAATTTGCTCGTCCTACAGTCGGAAATGCTAACTTTATCTCAATTATGGAAGATATATACGAAATTGTTTACGAAGGCAACATTAAACTTTGGAAATCAATTCCGCTTGGATTGCAGAATCAGCGCTGCCGCGTTTAATTTCTTCAATCTCTACTTACGCCGAAAGCAATTTTCGATTTATTTAATATTTACCCACCAATTTACTCAACTTCAGTTGTTGTTAAACGTTACATGTGTCTTAATACCAAAATGGTGGGAAACAATCGTAGATATTAGAAATATAGAGCAGAATTTGGAAAATGTAAATAGATTTACTTTATCCGGTATAATATCTCAATTAACTAAACAGATAAATGGAATGTCCGTTTGTGGAAGACACGACAGTGAACGCATCGAACGGAGTGGATCATACGATACACTATTGCAATCTCCACGATCTTCGCTCGTTTTCTTTACATTGTTGATCTAATTATTCTCTCCTTCAATACATAAATCGTTCCCTCGCACAGGGCTCTCGTTTAACATTGATTTATATTCTGTGGAGTATCGCGACGATAATTTAAGGTTCGGTTGCATCGAAAGCTTGAAATTACGCTCACGCGGACAATTACTCTCACGTGCAACTCCGCGTCCTACCTTCGTACTGTATTATTTGCTGGAAATGCCGAGATTGAACTGGTGGTCAGACACGAAACTTCGCGAAACAATTTACGTACGGGTCTCGAAGAGAGCCGGCGATCTGGGACGCCGGCGTGATTTCTTGATCGGGGCGCGTGACCGTTTTCCATGACGGCCGATTACCGATTTTCGCGTGCACTTATCTCCGGGGAAAGGTGAAATCGGTGGCCAGGTGATACACGACGTCAGCTGAGTCTCGTTCCTACATACCGGTTCGATTCCTGTTATTTTCGATGCATAGATGCATCCATTTGCGTTTTAATGCTGGGTTGTAAAGTCAGTAAATATTGAGAAACGTCTGGTACACGTACACCGTGTCTCCGAAAAAGATCCTCGTATGAGTGGCAAAAAGGAGCAATAAAAATGTTCTGTCTACACTGGCTCGAAAACACGTGTCCAATTAGACTACAGACATTATGCAAATGTGCAATTAATTTATTTCCCCTATAACGGGTTTCGTTCGCGAGCCGGGAGATATAATTTCGAATATTTAACGTATCCTGCGGCTCCATAAAACTCACGTTCTAGAAATGAATAACTTAATGATTTCATTCGTGTACTCCACACGTGAAGGCCTGAATGAAGTACAAACTTAGCTGCTTCTGGGAGGCTACACTTCACTTTTCGACGAACGAAGCTCCTGACACGAAAAAATAATTCGCGTTTCGTACACGTAACCCAATAATTACAAGCGTGTCGTATATCATTCGATTCGAAATCGACGGGGCCAGCGTCTCTCCCATAATTGCACCCGGAAAGTTCGAAGACACACGACGTCGAGTGAAAAGCACGGAGGTGGGGTAGAAGGGTAGTGATCACGAGAATCACGGGAGTGAATCGCAGTCGGTCGCTAGTGGACAGCCAGGAGTCGGTATAATTCGCGGGGTCGGATTATTGAGACATCGAGGGACCCATTGATTCCCGATGAAGATGTCCAGTGGTTAACGAGAGAAATGAATAGGTGGCGGGGCCCGGAGGCCCGAGGAGAAAGCCGTTCGCCGGAACCGCAGCCCAGTTTCAGGGGCCCGACAAAGCGTTCGCGATGCACGAAACGTGTACGAAGCACGCCAAACGTTCAAAAAATAAATTGCTCGGTGTACTGGCGGGAGAACGGTTCGAGCCGTCTTTCTCGATGATGGCGTGGCCGTGGTATCCCTCTCGTGCTACCCGGAGCGAAATCGTGCGGATCGGTAGGCAAATTAGGAGACCGCGGGGCCCGAAGGCGCGACGGCTTCTAATGGAGACGTTCGTGGGACGGGAAGAGAGCGAACGGAGTCACGTGGGAGCGACGCAGAAAGAGAAAGAGAGTGGGAGACCTGGCGTAGGGCGGAGAAGGGAAGAGAGAGAGGGTTGGGCTGCTTTGGGCGAAAGGACCGTAGTCGATTTCCCAAGCGAGGTGGAAGAAGAGGATGAAAGGAACCGCTCCTGGCTGGACCGCCGAGGAACGAATAAAAAGGGGATGCGGAGCCGATTCGTAGGTAATTCGTTTCTCCTTTTCGAACCTGTATTTAGCCTCTACGCCGAACTCCTTCCCGCCCCACACCACCGGCGCTGCTTCCTTCTTCGTCCTACACGCGCGAGCAAACAGAGGTGGTACCTTCCTATGGGCTTGAAGCGATAATCGATCGGAGAAAGGTTTCGAGCGCTCCTTCTTACGATTTATTGGGTGATGCTTGAATTGGAGTCTGATTTTCTAGTTAGGGAGGAAATCTTTTTCTTTTTTTGAAGGGAAAATTGGGTAAGGTTCGATGGGTTTGGGACGAAGATGATTTTTTACTGGATGTTTGAATAGACTTTTATTCTTAATATATAGACTAGAAGTAAATGAGCTTATATAAAAATCTGAACAATGTTGGGTCGGAGAAGATAAATTTTCTTCTGTTTTAAATTGGACTCTTTTTAAGCATTTCCTAATGCTGTACGAGGGCAATGTTTTAGTTTGAGTCGAAGCGTGAGTAATATTCGTGTTGATCAGCTTGCAGCAGTGTTATCAACAGAGATTCTGGTGTTTAAGTAGCACTCACTGTTAGTCTGTTATTTTTTTTGTTGTTGAAACTTTTTTTCTCGGATCATACTTGACCTCGTAAATCCCTCGTCTTCAAAGGAGAGCTAAGAATCCGGCCAGACTGAATCAGATTATTTAACTCCCAATTCACAGCCACTTGCGGACAGACCAGGGCCATAAATGTAACGACACTCGTGTCCCGCAGAAACACGTTGGGCACATTTCATACGCGACCGCGTTCCGTTTCGGTGTTTACACAAACGTGTTCCCTCGAACCCTTTTT